GAGGGCGAGGGGCTGCGGGCCGGCGGCTGGGGTGGCCGGAGCCCTGGGGGCTGCGGGACGGGAACCGGGGACTGAGGGCCGAGGCCTTCGGGTCGTCGCCCGCGCCGTTGGCAGGGGCCCGGGGGTCTCAAGTGAGTGTTTTCTGGGACGTTGAGTGAGGAGGGGACTCGCAGGGGCGGCTCGTGGTCCGGCCCTCCGTGGCTGGCAGGTCTCCACGGGGCCGTCCCCCGAGGACCGCAGGGACTTAGGTGTCCCTAGTCCGCGGGCGGTGACCCGAAGCGAGCTCGCAGCTGGGTTTACTAGGGGACAGCGGGGAGCCCGGCCTGTGCCCTGGGCCCGCGGAGGGCGCGTTAGAGCAGAGCGAGGGGAAGGGACCCTGGCGACTGCACGAGGTCTCGGGCTTCAGACTCAGGGTGGCGACGTTCCCTTTTAGTGACACCTTTAAAGGGTGCTGTCCAGTAAGCCGAAAGAAGAGACCCCGGGCCCGCTGGGAGGCACCCGAGTCCCGTCAGTCGGTGGGACTCAGAGCGGCAGGTGCTCAGTGGGATCTCACGCCTGCTGTCTGGGAAAGGGACACACGGGGCGCTTTAGAAGTTCACAGAAAGGTCCCTGTTACCGCCTCATTCTCTTTCTACAAACTTTCTGGAGTACCCTCGTATGCTGTCTCTTAAACGAATACCCTCTCCACGACTTACTCTGTTAGGAGACCTTCGGTGAACCTCTTTCTCACTGCCCCCCCAACCCGACCCCCAAATAACGTGGGAAGATTGGTCCTAAGTGCTGCCATCAAAAAGATGACACAGAAAAAAGCTGGTGGGCGTTCCTGTGACTTAAATAGTTGTAGACATGCACTCGTGTACGTACCTGCCATAGAGTCTTTAGATGTCTCTGGAGTTCTGGTCATCTCTAAAATTCTGTTACCGTGAATCGGATGGATTTGGGGTTCACTTTTTTGTTTTATTTGTGTAAAATGAATTCTTTGAACTGCGCGACTGGCCACAAGAGATGAACTTACTGGAGTAGTAAACCCAGTCTCGTTCAGGACCTGGGATCCTTCTTTGCCAGCAGGTGCAATTAGTCCTGCGAGGAGTTGCAAAACAAGTTTTATCATGTCAGAATGACTGCGTTGTTCTTTAGCAGAAAAGCTCACGAACCTTAGAACTTTAAAACCCACTTGAAATATGAAGAGAAAAAAATCTATAACTCCTTGATGGTGGGATGGTTACGATTGTTGTGCATGTAATTAGTTTTTTAATGTCTGCTTTGTTATATCTTTTAAATGAGGTTTTTTAACAACTTGAATTTAGGTTTATTTAAAATGCTTATTTTAATGCATAACCTCACCAAAAAGCATCCTTTCTTTAAAAATTCTGACTTTTAAGTTACTAATTTCTGCTACATTAATAATAAGGAATTGCTTAAAGTGGCATTGTGTCTTAATATTTGTTAGAAAGTACAGACAAGCATGGACTGAAACCTTAGTTTTTGATACATAGTATTAACTGTAATTGCATAATGTGACTCTTTAAACCATCAGTGTCAACTGAATGACCTCCTTCCCCTTTCCAAATGAAGAACTGTCACTGTGGAAGTCCAGAAAGTATGGGGCCGAGCCCGTGGCGTACTCGGGAGGGTGCGGCACTGGGGGTGCGGTAGCGCTCCCGCCGCGGGTTCGGATCCTATGTGGGGATGACCGGTGCGCTTGCAGCGCTCACTGGCTGAGCGCGGTGCGGCCGGTCTCAAAAAGGACCAAAAAAAAAGAGGAAGTCCAGAAAGTATTAGACTAATTGTTACCCTTGATTGTGGGAGTTTGTCAGTTATTCAGATGGAAGACTGAATTCTTCACTAGATTTGAGGTCAAAATGTTTTGTGGTCTTATGGTTTGAATTTGTGTTAAGCTAGACCCATCCCTGACCATGTTAGGCTTCCTTTCTCTGTGCATCTCCAGGACTTTTATTGCACGTGCTTGTGCACCACAGCGTCAGTTCAGCTGCCTTCCTCAACTTATGGCCCAGCCCATTCCTGACACATACTAAGTGCTCAGTACGTATATGAAGAAATGTCCCTTTTAAAGCAGTGGTCCTTATCCAAACATATGCACAAGTCAACTTTTTAGAAGGATACGGACTTGTGCCCTGCCTCAAGAGGTTGTGGTTCAGTGTCTGAGATGGAACCTTGGTCTTTTTTTTTTTTTTCTTTTTTTTTCTTTGAATCTGCATAAATAATTGTGCATCACTGGTTAGGAAGAAGAAAAATACTGGATTTAAAAGAATCAAGCCCAAGACAAACTAGGATGTGATTTCTTGTGAAAATTTACTTTTTAAAAGAAATTTGTTGACTTGTTCAGATGGCAGTCTCTCAGAAGCAAGTGTTTCAGTTTGAAGCATGTTCCCTCACTCACCAGGTGCTGGGAAGGTGGTGTGGTTCAGACAAGGCAAGTGCAGCACAGCTGGCCCTGGGTGACTTGGAATAAGTTAGTTAACGTCTCTGTGCCTTAGTCTCCACCTTGCAAAAGAGAATCGTAACTGTGGCTACCTATTAGGGTGGACATGGTAATTAATTGCAAAGGGCTTAGAGCAGTGCCTAGCTTAAGGTAAGCACATTTCAAGTGCTGGTTAAATACTTTTTTGATACTTTGTGTCAAGTCCTGAGGGTTAAATGATGAACTTGATAGGTACCATGTATGTGTACAGAGCTGAATGTTTAATAACAGCTAAAATGAAAACTAGCGTTAATGTTCTGCAACAGAGGCTCGGCTGGCGTTGCCTCATCTGATCCTGGAACAGCCCCTGAGGTGTCAGCACTCTTACTTTCTGTTCGTGGTGCGTAAACTGAGGGTTGGGCAGTTGCTGCTGGCCCAGGGCTGCACAGCTAGGAGGTAGTGGAGCAGCCCAAAGAGCCGTAGTCTCTGACTCAGAAGCATGTGTGTTTCCCACAGCAGCACTTGTTTCAGAAAGTGGAATTTCTGCAAGTGGGAGTATTTTGAAGGAACAAGCTACGGTTATTCCTTAATGTGACCCCTGGAGAAATGATCACATGTGCACCAGCGGTTGTCAGCAGGCCGAGAGCTGAGGCTCAGTGGCGCCACTGGCAGCTGCTGCTTTTGGGCTGTGACACCTGTCAAATCGCTGCAGACGTTTTAGCTGACTCGAGGTTATTTTTTTTTTCCCAAACCAATTGCCACATTTATGGAAATTTTTAAAAATTTCTGACATTTCTTTTACAATTCTATGTTCTAATGCCATCGTAGGCATTTTTCTCTTGACTAAAGTTGGCTTCTGTGCGTGGGGGGGTAAGCTGCTGCTTTTAATAATTCAAAATTTCTTAGCTTCTCCAGGATAAATATGGGTATCTAATGCTGCTAACGCTTATTTCAAATGTTTCAGTAATACTTGTTAGTTTTCCTTCGAAAGTTCAGATCCTCAGCATATTTACTAAATGAAAAAAGTATGATTGAAAAGTTACATAATGTGAAATTTTTCTGATGACGTGTTTTGGGTTGGTAAAATTTTTTTTAATGATTTGGGAAACTGCTTATAGCAGGGCAGCTTAGTAAAAGCCAGCCCATGTGTGCTCCCTTGCGGTGTCTGTGGCGTGCCTGATCTGTGTGATACTTCAGCTAAAATTGTCTTAGGTTGAGGAATCTGGGTGGGGCAGGCAGCAACCCACGTGCACGGTGAGTCAAGTCAGCATTCTAGTGCGTTCTCTGGCTTCAGGGTTTGCTGCTTCTGCCTGCCCCGCCTCTTCTGCCTTGCCGGCATCTCAGCTGCAGTGCACTCATTCCATACCTCACTGATGGAGTGAAAATGTTTTGTCTGTAGGTGCGTTCTCTGGCTTCAGGGTTTGCTGCTTCTGCCTGCCCCGCCTCTTCTGCCTTGCCGACATCTCAGCTGCAGTGCACTCATTCCATACCTCACTGATGGAGTGAAAATGTTTTGTCTGTAAAATTGTAAAAACGTTTACTGTGTCGAAAACAAGTTATGGAATCTTCTCTGGGTGTTTAAAATGGAATATTCATTCACTGGAAATGCTTTTAGTGTAATATTGCCCAAGTGTTGTCGAGTGTGGGTTAAAAAGCAAAGCAAAACAGATAATAGATTGTACAGGTCCTGTGTGCCATAGTTTGCTACGTTCTCACGTAGCACCTTTTATGAAGGTAGATTTTGGTATTTCCTTTGCCAGAGGAAGCTTAAAGGAAGATATGTGGGATTTCTGGTTATACTTTTTGTTTCAGGCTTGAATAGTAGTAGCTCTGAAGATTTTATTTTGTGAAAGTTTTGAGAGTAAAATAAATTGAATTCAATGGAGCCCATTTACTTTCCCAGGGAATAGGATTCTAAAATGAAAAGTTGTGTGTCCTTGCTTTGAGCATACTGCCTTCAAAGTGTGCTTGAGTCATGTTTACACTTAAAGTGATAGATTAGAACACAAGTGGTGTGCGTACTTTGAGTGATAGATGAGGCTATGTGTGTGTAAATGTCATTGGAAGGGCATAAAGAGTTAAAGTGATAGATCAGACCCCAAACATGTCAGTGTCATTGGAAGGGAGTGCACACTTAGAATGATAGATCAGACTCGGTGTGTAAATGTCATTGGAAGGGTGTAAAGAGTTAAAGTGATAGATCAGACCCCAAACATGTCAGAGTCATTGGAAGGGAGTACACACTTAGAATGATAGATCAGACTCGGTGTGTAAATGTCATTGGAAGGGCATAAAGAGTTAAAGTGATAGATCAGACCCCAAACATGTCAGAGTCATTGGAAGGGAGTGCACACTTAGAATGATAGATCAGACTCGGTGTGTAAATGTCATTGGAAGGGTGTGCTCAAGCTTGTAGCAGCAGAGACAAGTGATGGCACATCATTTTTGGACGGTTCAGTACAAAGTGGTGGCTGGTAGATGTTTGGCTTTTGAGCTAGCGAAACCACCTATTTTTGCCAGTCTGTAAAAGATCTAGGTAATAAAATGTGTGATATGTAAAATTAGTAACTTCCCTGCCATAGCGATCAGATCACATTTGCTGCTGAACATCTTGATGGGAAGTGGGATATGAAGAAGACAAGAGGAGATTCTTAGCAGTGACCACTGTCAGCTGGAGAGACCTACAGAGCTTCCTTCTGTCCCTTTACTTCCGGATGTGGCAGCCCTGTCTAACCTGGTCGAGTGATGTGCTGTGGTCACACAGCAAGTCCAAGTCAGACTGAATCTCTGTGCTTTGAGTACCTTTCTGAAATGGGCAAAGAGCTCATATTTTTGAGTCTGTGGCTTCTCACCACCGGTTCGTGAGAAGTAAAAACCGATCAAACACTAAATAGCAGTTTAGGACTACAGTGAAAGAAACTCCTCACTCTCCGTGGATTTCCACAAAAGCTGGATGTTGAGACTGAGTTTTTCCTTCAAGGTCCCAGCACTACTTACAGAGAGATCTTCTGAGGAACACAGAGCACATGTGCGTAGGGCTGACCCAGAAACTGACGTGCAGCTTCCTCATAAATTCTGAAATAAAGCACCGAATAGTTACAGAGCAGGTTGGCAGACTGATGTGAGAGGTTTAGAGGTAACTGTCATGATAGTTATCCAGGAGCTCAGAGCACCAGGGTGAACCAGCGTGTGTCACACACGTGTCTAGTTCTTTAGTGGTTGAAGGAGCATGGTGGAATCTGCTGATCAAACCCATTACTGCTACAGACATACCCAGTTACATTTTCAGAAAGGTTTTTGATTATCCTGTTTTCCAGGCCTCGTGCATGGCGCATCGGCAGTGTTTGTGGTGAAGGACGGCAATGGGACAGCGTGTATCATGGCCAACTTCTCAGCTACCTTCTTGATGAACTATGACACCAAGAACGGCTCTCAGGTAGGGAGTGCCGGGGCACTTCATGCTTCGCTTGTCTGTGCTTGTGAAGATTATTGTAAAGTTTCAAATAGATCTTTGAAAAATGATCCTACCTTAACGTTCTTTTCATGGGTACATCTTTTAGGATCATCAATAACTTATGCTGCTATATGAACTGTATCTGCAGTCATGATGAACCATTTTGTGTTCTGTTCTTCACCGTTTTGTCATTAGTATTTTTCCAGTTTTCTTCATGCTTTTATAATCACAATGTAGTATTTTATTATGCGAATCAACCATAATTGTTAAGTCACTCCCCTATTGATAGTTGGTTTGTTTTCTTATATTCTTTTTCATGCCCAGCGAACAGCCCTGTGAATATAACTTGTTTGATCTGTTGAACTTACTTTAGATGAAATATTATACTCTAAGAAATGTATGTAAACAGCTGTCTGACGTGCATTGCTGTAAGCACTGTACTGGTTTGATTAAAATGCTCCTTAGTAGTTTTGCCAGAAAAACTTTGTGTTTCTAGAGCGTGAGTAAGGTTTCCTAGATTGCTGACAAATAAGGGCTGTGTATTCGTTGTACTTCTCTCTTTGTTAATAACCTGTTAATGGATGTTTCACGTACTCTTTTTATTTAATATTTACTCTTTTGAATATAATCCCTGAACATAATTTTATTTTCAGTTTTTTGTTGAGCCTGCCAATTTTCCTTATGCATCTCCATGTCCACAGCACTAACCTTTGCTACCACACAAAGGGCAGTGATGAGGCCCAGCCAGGATTGCCGGGAAGATCTGAGGTTCCTGAGCGCACTCTGGACTTTGTGCCTGTTGCTTGGCTCTTACTAGTTTATTAGTACTAGTCTCTATATAAATGTGTTCTTTGTCAAAATAGAAGAAAACTGGAAAGGTTTTGTTTCATAGAAATGTTTCAAATTAGGGCCGGCCTGTGGCTCACTCGGGAGAGTGCGGTGCTGATAACACCAAGGCCACGGGTTCGGATCCCATATAGGGATGGCCGGTTGCTCACTGGGTGGGCGTGGTGCTGACTCTTACTAGTTTATTAGTACTAGTCTCTATATAAATGTGTTCTTTGTCAAAATAGAAGAAAACTGGAAAGGTTTTGTTTCATAGAAATGTTTCAAATTAGGGCCGGCCTGTGGCTCACTCGGGAGAGTGCGGTGCTGATAACACCAAGGCCACGGGTTCGGATCCCATATAGGGATGGCCGGTTCGCTCACTGGCTGAGTGTGGTGCTGACAACACCAAGTCAAGGGTTAAGATCCCCTTACTGGTCATCTTTAAAAAAAAAAAATAAAAGAAAGAAAAAAGAAATGTTTCAAATTATAAGTACTTGTAAATAGCAAGCACTTTTTATTTAATCTCTGCTTTATTTTTGTTATGTTTGGTTTTGATGGTTGGGTTTTTAAAAACATTACCTTGTAATATATGAATTATGTTACACTAATGGGATCACCCATAGGCTGTTATGTGCTTTATTGTTTTGTAAAACATGTCTTTGGTCATCTCATGGAGTTCCGTATCATTTTTTTAGGACCATGTTATTATACACCATCATAGATCATTTTATCAGTCCAGTTCATTCTGATAGACGTTAGGTGGTTTTTCAGTTGCTTATTATGCTTGTAATAAATTCAAATAATTCTGCAATAAACACTTTCTTTGTTTAAAGGGACATTCTTTTATCTTTTTTTTTTTTTTAATTGGTGCCTGGCTGGCCTGTAGGGGCATCCGAACCTTTGACCTTGGTGTTATAACACTGGCTCTAGCCAACTGAGCTAACCAGCCAGCCTACAGAGACATTCTTTAAACACATTTCTATAGCCAAAAAGTAGTGAGAGCTTTTTAAAAATGTAAAGGATGAAGCCTGGTAGGAGGCATGCAGGGCTTCACGGGACTTTAGTTTCAAGGTAACTTTAGTTTTAATTTGTTATAAATTAAAATTATGTTAATAAGAAGGAGAATTTTTACTTATATGATTGTCACCTTTTCTTTACACTTGAATTACTTTTCAGTCTATTACTAACTTGTAATACTGACCCCTTTTAATTTTTTTGTTAAAAACGAACACCTTAACAGTGATATCTGAGATGGAACTGAAGTATAAGTTTATATCAGACTTACAGAAGACTCTTTTGTATTTCTGAATCCCTTTAATAAGCTACATTCTAATTGGGTTCTGCTGCTGTTGTGCTTGTTCCAGAATGCGACCTTTGACCTGCCGCCAAATGCAGAGGTCCTGAATAGCAGCTCTTGTGGTAAAGAGAATCCTTCCGACCCCATTCTCATGATTGCTTTTGAAGGAGGACATACACTGACTCTCAATTTTACAAGAAATGTGACACGTTACAGAGTCCAGCTCATGAGTTTTGTTTACAACTTGTCAGACACACACATTTTCCACAATGCGAGCTCCACGGGTAAGGACCAAAATCAAGCAATTACGAAGTTAGAGGAAATTGGTTTAGAAAGTTGTCTAAAATTACTTTTAACTAAGTGCTGCAAGTAATTCAAAATTGTGCGTGTGTTTGTTTTTTAATCTAGGAATCAAGACTGTGGAATTCATAACTGACATCAAGGCAGACATAGATAAAAAATACAGGTGTGTTAGCGGCACCCAGGTCCATAGGAACAACGTAACTGTCACGCTCCGCGATGCCACCATCCAGGCATACCTTTCAAACAACAGCTTCAGCAAGGGAGGTAAGACACCGACACCGGACTCTCTGGTGCTGACTGTTGGACGGCAGTACCCACAGATGACCTCATTTCTCAGGTCACGGTGCTGGCACAGTGCATGGAGAGAGTGTTCACATGGCTAGAGACACGGCTTTGCAGAACTGCCCGTCGACCTTTTATCTCTCTAGAGAAGGTGACTCTGTAGATGAGGGTGAACACATCTTGATTTAAAAAGGGTAGAAGGATAAAGTGACATGAGCCAGAAACAGAAAGAGATACCACATGGTCTCACTCACATGTAGACTCTAGAGTTGAACTCATAGAGGCAGAGAGTAGAATGGTGGCCACCAGGGGCTGGTGGGTGTTGGTGATAGGATACAAAGTTTAGTTAAGAAGAATAAGTTTTAGAGAAGCTGTTGTACATGGTGACTGCAGCTACTAACGGTGTGTTGTGTTCTTGAATATTGCTAAGAGAGTAGCTTTTAAGTGTTCTCACCACAAAAACTAAGTGTGTGTGGTGATGCATATGTTAATTAGCTCAATTTAGCCATTCCACAATGTACACACATTTTAAAACAACATGTCCATGGTAAATAAGAGGTAGTCTTCAAAAAGTTCACGGAAAGATTCATATTATCTTTTAATTCCATTTTACCACAAACCTTTTGAAGTACCTGTGTATATATGATTTTAATTTGTTTTTTAAAAGGCAGAAAAGTAAAGTAGTTGAGACCTCTGTGTTGTCCCTTGTGACAGAGCTAATGGGATCAGGGTCTTGGATCTCTTTCAGTTCAAGCCAATCAGTGTTACACAGATAGCTCGTCTTATCTCAGCCCCACCTAGGCAGGCCCAAGGACAGGTGCAGAAGGACCAGCAGTGCCTTTCCGACTCATTTGTACCCCCAACGACACACCTACTAACCCAACTGGTGGGTGCATGGGTCAGACAGGCAGGGTCCATGCCACCTCCCAGCCCCATGATCTCGAGAACCTTTCATTTTTCCATGCTTGTAAAATAAGAGTAATGACCTGTCTCAGAAGGTTGTTAGGATTAAAAAGGAAATTTATTCCAAGCGCTTATATCGGTGTCTGGCACAGAGCGAGGAGCAAATACATGTTAAATCATTTTACTATTAAGAAAATTATTTCCACAAATCCTACCAGTCAGGTCACAGTTCATTGTCTTTTTGCCAGAGGGTGGGGTATGTGATGTGCCTTAGAGTGGGCTTACCCCGTACGTGAAGAATGCACAGCCTTCTCTGATCTTTAGAGCCGCCGTAGGAGGCCTTTCCTTTGCAGTATTCCCCAGCAGTCTTGTTTGAGGCTCAGAGTGACTGTTGGGGGAGAGCAGCTAAACAGATGATCTGTCACGGTGCTGACTGCGAGTCGGCTACAGCCTTTCTCAGAGGTGCGTGCATTCTTAGCAGGTCAGCACACCTTGCCGCAGGCCCAGTCCTGCCTGCCTCCAGCTTCTGTGCAGACAGTAAGCTAAAAATAGCTTTTATGTTCAGAAGTTTAACATAAAGATAAATAAAAAGAATATTTCATGACACATGAAGAGTATCTAAAGTTGTGTCCATAAATGAAGTTTTGTTGGAACACCGCCACGCTCATTGATTTACTTATCTTCTGTAGCTGCTTTCCCATTACCTGTGGCAGAGCTGAGCTGTCATTACAAAGACCCACAGCCCACAAAGTCTAAAGTATTTACTGTCTGTCACTTTACAGAAAACGTTTGCCAGTCCCTGATTCAATGGGAAGAGTGTAGTGACAGAGCTAGGACTAAAGGAAGCCCTTCTCTGAAAAACCAGGCACAGTTAGGAGAAGCAGGAACTTCACAGGGGAGGTCAGTGTAAGCTGGAGCAGCGGGAGGTTCTGAAGGAAACTGATGCTCAGGAGTTGAGTCCTTTCACGAACTAAGCCACGTTTGCTCTTCATCACAAGCCCCCAAGGGACGTGGCCTGGTTGCTTTCTCGTAGGTGCATGAACAGACCCTCCTTGTGAATGTGTTGCTTTTGTCGCTCTGCCCCCCACGGATTTGTCACCCTACTTCCCGTGGGTGACGGAGATGCAAAGGATTACACAAAGCCCATCTCTTCTGAGCAATGAGAGACCCCACAGTGGTTAACTTCCCTTGGGAACACTCAAGCAAGAGGCAACCCTTCCTTGCAAAATTAACCCCGAATTGGGCTTCTTCCTGCACTTATTTTCCAGACCAGGAAGTTACAGGAAGAGACAAAGGTGGGATTATAGTTTAACAATATAGGCTGGTAACTTTCAGTGAAACAAGTCAGATGACATTCCAGTAAGGCAATTAAGTGATCTTACAGCAATTTCTCAATATCATTACATAACAGTCAGTAACTTGTCTGCCCTTGAGCCAGCAGCCTTGCTGTGCCACAAATCTTTATCTTACACCAGAGACTTTATAGCCTGAGGAAAATTTCCAGTCCTCCGCAAGGTCAATATGTGAAACTGCAAGACTTTGGAAAACCAGGCCCTGTGAGGTACATTTGCTTTATAGTATATTCCACATGAAGGCACGGGCAGTGGAGCTGTGCATCAAGCCAGTCTCTGCCTTTTCTGCGTGCAGCCTCTTTTCATAGCGGGCCTGGAGGAGTGTCCGCTTCACTGGGAAGGGCAGGCCAGAGCCAGAGGCTGCACGTGTAGTGGCACAGGTGCACAGCATGATTGGAGGACAGCCTCCACGCAGCAGCCTGTCTTGGTGTGCCGATGCTGAAGTGGGAGCTGGAGTGGCATGTTTGCAGAGGTCAGTTTTCACCAGTAGGAGTCTCCACGTTGTCTGGGTTTCTCACCTAGCACCTCCCTCGGGTTTGCACGGGTGTTCTTTCCCAGGAGAAGGGAAAGCGTGCATTGTCAGCCTGACATGTGAGAGAGAATCTGCTATGCTGACCTTGGCCAGTGACCTCCCTGCTGGCCAGGCCTGACTGTGGCCCATCGCCATGTGGCTCCAGGACTGTGAGCACCAGGACTGTGTGACCCACGGCAGCCTCACTTTCTCCTGCCTCCCAACCCGGCGGGTGCTTTGGAGCGAAGGCTGCACGGTTGGGGGTGTACAAGTATGTTGCAGGCACTGAGACTGGTGGTGGCCACGTTCTCTAGACTCAGGTGGAGACGTCACAGATACAGGTAGACTCATTATGTTTTTTAAGGCTCATAATTCCTTTTTTTTTTAAGAAAGACTTTTTTAGAGCAGTTTTTGGTTCACAGCAAATTGAGCGGTTCTGTGTATCCCCTGCCCCCCCACCCCCCT